GGAAAATAAAATGGAAGCTACTAGAGTATATTGGGGTACATATATGGATAATGGAAAATAAAATGGAAGCTACTATAGTATATTGGGGTACATATATGGATAATGGAAAATAAAATGGAAACTACTACAATGGAGAATCAAATGGAAAAGAAAATGGAAAATGAAATGGAAACTGGGATTATATTGGGCTTACACTAAAACAAGGGGCGTGTAATGATCACCTCACTTACAACTGCACATGAACCTACAAGTAAGGATCGTCTGCAAGACTGTCCGAAGTGTCTTCTGAAGTTCATGGGTAAGGAGAATTTGGCTTCCTCAGACATACACACACATATACATATATATATATACATACTTTTAATGGATCATGCTGGAGTCGTGCTCCATTAGGGTCAGTCAGTCCTTGCACTATACGGCACTTCAGCTTCCATCTAGTTGCCACCAACGCCTTCCCTACAAATATGTATTGAGCTCCCTATGCATGAATGTCTGCCATGCCGCAGGCAGGGGCTAAGCCTGTTGTGGTCTGAAACGATTCTATGAATTGTGCTTTGTGGGGAGTCATAATAAGAAGGATTACAAATTACAAGGGCCCATATTCGCTTCTTTCGTTTTTGTGGAAGCTACCACAGCTTGTGCGGCGCTGGAAGGAATATTTGCCACCTCCCGCCCTGAGGCAGTGTAGTAAATTAAAGTAAGTTCCTTAACCATAAACCCTAAACCCTAAATATACCTATATACACCTATATAATTACCCCCCATATACCTATTATTACGGTAACTTAAATTGATTTCCTTAACCACAAACCCTATATATACATATATATATATATACATACATCCCTATATACTTCGATATAATTACCCCCGATATGCCATTATCATCGTAACTGAAATTAAGTTCCTTAAGAGCAACCCATGTTACGCCTCATGCTTGGGGCTGCATGGTTTAGGCCACAAGAATGGGGCAATCCTTCCACCTTTTTCAGGACCTACAATCCATGCGGGGATGTCCCAAAAGTAGGGGTATCTTTAAAGAGGGATATAGGGGTTCCATAGGGGTATACAAAGTTTTGGGCTCAGGTACCATTTTGGGGGTCCCCATAATAAGGATTAAAAGATATTGGGGTTTATATTGGAGTTCCCCTATTTCTGGAAACTACCATGTGGGCATTCCAGAACTGTCGGCCCGACTGACATACCCAAGATTGCTACAACCTTTCTGATAAGGACTTCGAAAGGTAACGCCCAATTACAGAAACAACCTTTGTGCCAAAAGTGGTGTTGAGACAGCTTCAAAAAGGCATGCGAAGGTCTATAGCCTAAAGCCTAAACCCTATACAACTAATTTGGACATCCTACTGCTGCTTTTCTTCACTGAGCCACAGCCAGCGAGTTATCTAGAGACTGCTCGTAAAACTGCTCAACGTTGGAGCCTTCTTCTGCCTATAGTCCCCCATAAGTAGATAGAACATGAAGTATGGGGATCTTATGATGATATTGGGCAATTCCATATTCTATCTACTTATGGGGGACTATGGCTTCAAAACAATGAGGCATTTCCAAACATGTAGGTCTCCATTCTATACCCCAGAAGAGTGGATACTTTATGATAGTGCCTCGCCCACACGCCTATGACAATAGATGAAGTATTCGGTTATCCTTGGGCGATGAAACTGTTTGGAGTGGAGACCTCGGAATTACCTCAGCGGCTTAAAAAACAAAGAGAGAAAAGGAGGTTGGTTTCCTTGCCCTCCACGAAACAAAGAGAGACAAGGGGGTTGGTTGCCTTGCCCTCCACAAGCGCATTCCTGAGTGCTTGTGACAGCGCGCGAAAAGCACGAATTGAATGACCCTTTTTTGGTTTAAGGTTCACCATTTGGAGCTTTTGTGGCGAAGACAAGCCAGACGGAATTAGGGTTTCTGCATAACATGCCGAATCGACGGAGGTATGCAGCAAATGTTTTTTCGACATTATTGCGGTGGGTATGGGATGAAGTCTGCATACAATCTCCTACAATAGACCCTATGTCCTAGTCTTTCGTTCCAACTACTCTAGACCCTGAAGCCTAAATCTTAAATAGTATACTAATTTCCATGTTCTGTTCCATTCCCCACTTTACCTACTCTAAACCCATAAGGGGCCAGAAAGGTAGGCTGAAATGACCTATAATTAGTCTAAACTCCTAGTATCCCCCTTAATATCCCCCATAGTAGGCCCCTATATAATCCCCTATATTACCCCCCTTAAAGGAGCTTAGACTATAGCTCAAATGGCCCCAGGCTCATGGCCGAACCAAAGCCACCCTGGGCAATCCATGTGCCGGGGGCGGCATGGCGATGCTGACGGTGACGGGATGCAGGTTGTGCCTAAGCTGTTAAATCAGGAAAGGTACAGAGGGCTTTGGGGTCAGGATCTAGGGTTTAAGGCCAAGAGCTTAGGGTTACTAAGTTACATCGGGTTACATGGGGATATTATAGGGTTTATGGAGATTACAGCGAATGATGAAGAAAAAAATGAAAGAAAACATGGAAAACAACACGGATACTGAGATCTATGGATCTAGGGGTTGAGGGTTACTTGGAGGGTCAGGGAGCTTGGAAGTAGGTTAGTATTGGGAATAACTGGGTTTGTCATATGGTACATAGGGGTTATGAATCTAAGTATAGAATTGCTAAGTCCCCGTGACCCTCCAAGTAGGGAAAGCACCAAAAATTCCGGGCTCAGGTTTGGAGACCCTATAAAGATAGAAGCTTCCAGCTTCCAGATTTCTACCCTGGCACTACGGGTCTGCTGTTAAGGAACTTGATTTCAGCTGCGATACTATGGGTGGAAAATAAATAGTATGGTTTCCCCAAGATAGTAGCTTAATCTAGATTCCCTAACAGCAACCCAGACCAGGCTGCGCCTGAGAAAGGACTTCTTGTACAGCCGTGGATTTCTTGGGAGACCCTTCCGGGACCACTACATAAGGTGACTTTCCCGACGAGAACCATGCAGAGTTGTACAAGGGATGCATAAGGCTTATGTCAGGTGCCTACATGGTACCTAGCCTCATGTAAATGCCTTAGAATTTCAACAGCAGCCACAGGTGCTCATATTTGGTCTGCATGATTTCATATATGCGGGGGATCAGATGGTCATGGACACCCATGGAAGTGAGGTTGATAAGGTTGTCCTTCAAGCCCAGGTCTGCGCAAACATTCCGCCAGCAGTCGAACTCATCAGCGGGCTGCCAAGATTCACCTTCCCTTTCTGACAGGCCAATCTCATCCGCTACATCCCCTCGGCTCCAAGCAGAACAACGCAAAGCAAAGAAAAAAAAACAGAAGAAGCAGAAGAAGAGTTGGGAAGCTCTTTGGGTGGTGTCCCTTGGACTAACAAATGAACCAAAAGTCTGCCATTTACCAGGGGCCACCTCTGACAAACAGTGAATCTCGACCGGCCATCCGGTACAGTCCCAGGCCGTTAGGCCAAAGGATAGAGATAGCAGCACTCAGGGAGCATCCTGGGTAAAAGCCGCCGTCCCTTCGGGTTCCGCCAGCAATGGCATGAACAGAAGAGAGGTTCTTCTTCTCCGACGCTTGAAAATTCGGATGGAACTCCGATGAAACCACAATGGGGGGTGGGAAGGCCGCCGTCTCCACACTGATGAGCTTGGGACTGACAACACGAAGAGCTTCACGCATCACCGAACAGTCGTAAGAATCAATGTCAAAATTCATTGCATCCACCTCTATGCGCGTGCCCTCCGGCACGGCATCGCTGGAGACGAAATCTCGCACCCCAGCTGCCTCACACAGGGATCCAAAGAGGACGACCTTTTGCAATCTCTATGCGTTCGGTTCGGGGTTGAGGCTTTGAGGCTCGTGGCTCAGGATTTAGGGTTCTGGGCGTAGAGTTTCAGACGTCGTGATCTTCTGGGCTTAGGCTTAGGGCTGAGGGTTCGGGAGATTGGGGTTGGGTTTGGGCTCCAGGGTTCCTGTTGTGCTCTTCGGAAGATGTGTAAAGACGACGATAAAAGTCGGTAAGATTTCTGTCCTGAAATTCTTACATACAATCGGTGGTTGTCCAAGTTTCCCGTTTAGAAACCCTGCACAACCCCCTGCCTGGCAGCATGATCCACACAGCACGACTCCTGCAAAGAAAGCATGTTGACCCCAATACTCGAATCCCATCAAATCCTTTTCAATCATGAGTCTCCGGGCTACAATAGTATACATATAATATATATATATATTGTTCTTTCTCCACCTTAATCCATTGCCGCCTTCCCTAGCCTAACTCACACATCCAAAACTGACAACTAAACCCTTAAACCAATACTGGAGGGGCCTTTTCCAGGGGTCTATAGGGGCATATAGAGATATCACAAAAACATCGGGCCAAACGATAGGGAATCAAATTGAAAACAACATGGAACATGGAATGGAAACCAGCTCCAACCCTCAAACAAACACGTTAAAGGAAACCCCTATGTTCTGTAGCGCCCCTAAACCCCTAAATAAAAACGCTGGCCTGGCAAACCGCTTCAATTCCCAGAACCTCTTGTCGACTTAATTCTTGACAGATCGTCTCGAGGACCTTTCTTGGAGAGCTTCGGACAGATAGAGAATCAAAGGGGAAAGAACATGGAAAATGACATTGAAACTGGGTTGATGTAGGGGTTACATTGAGGAATTATGTATGGTAGGGGCCCAATTAAGTGTGAGTATCGTTTTGAGGCCTGTGCGAGGTGGCTTGCACAAACAATTAGGCAAGGAATCTAGCACTACATGTTTGGTCATTTTTTTAAATGACCAAAAATGTAGGCCCCTATAATCGAGGCTTGAGAAGTGTGGGGCTTCATTGAGGCTGTGAAGGTTCAGAGTTTCAGGATTCAGGGAGTTCAGCTGTCTAAAGACTTTGTCTGCGTTGGGACGGCTTGCTGCGAACCTATTTAGGAAAAGGCAAGTGCATGTCTAAGCATGTTATTACGGCTTATGTGAGGACGTCAGCACAGCAACGCCCTGCGTTGGGATGAATCACGGCCATTTTCATGATCCAGTATTACACAGGCACTTATGCTCAGGGGAATCATAGTTGCGTCAGAAGCACCCTCAAGAATATGCTGAGGAAAGGGGATTTCTTCCAAAACAACGGAGGATTTCGGAGAAATTAAAGGTTGTTTCTAGGCAATGTAGGGATGATTGGCAGAAGTCCGCAGAACTCAAAAACAGGCTTGGCGAGCTTGAGACACATGATCAGGCGTGGTGTAGCCGCATTGCAAATGGATGGCTCCAGTTTCTGCCAGCTTGGACCTAGCCCTGACGCAGTTATCTGGCATGGCCTCAAAGTAAATGCCCTTCCAAGGCGGCCCCGCCCCCGCGAATTCCTGCAAGATTCGGCCCAAAGGATCGTCTGAGTCCGCATCCCCAGCTCCGATGTTGATGAGGATCCGCGGTAGGACTTTGGACCTGGCCCTGATTAGGGAGTAGAGTCTCAACGGCTCCTCGCGCAGGTACAGCCAGTTCGGCACGGCGCAATGGCTCCGCTGAGCCTTGCCAAACCGGTACCTCAGCTGGGCGCGCTCTAAGCCATCAGCATCGTACCAGGCCTCCGGAGCCAGCGGCGGCAGCATGGCACAGAGCTCCATGCGGTTGTCGAAGTTTAAGCCAGGGCTTACAGGTCCATGCTCACACGTGGGTGTATCAAGATCAAGATCCTCGGCCTCCTCACCCCACACCGCCACCCAGCCCGTGGGAAAAGCCCTGCACGCAATGAGGCTGCTGCAATCCTTGCGAAGGCCAAGCTGCGCGTGAGCAACGCGGAAGTACTGCCTCCGCAGGGCGGGGTCGTTTGCACAGCTGAAGAGATCCGTGGACATAGGCTCCAACTCCGGCGAGGACCAGCAGCAGTGTTCATGGATGCTGTCCTCCTTGAAGCAAATATTGTCGCCATCTCCCAAAGGGGCGCAGCAATCAAGCCAGGTCCTCCCAGCCTCCCAGCAGCGACCTTTACAGGTGGCCGGCCGCAACAGCAGAGTCAGACAGCACCAGAAAGCCCCGGAAACCATCAGGTGCCCATCCTGCCATGGGCACGAAGATAGATGATCTGTTTCCAAGTTGGGGTTGGGATGCTCTGACATTTTCCACATCCTCATGCGGATGCTCTTGGCGAGCTCTGTGCTACACCGCTTGTAATATGTTCTTCAAAAGATGCAACAAGAGTCTGTTTCAAGGCAGCCTTACTTGCCAGCCTTCAGCTTTGAGCCATTTGGCTGACCAACTTGAAAGCCATCCGTGCCAGGCAGAAGCCGTGCGCTGGCTCTACTCTACGGACCCAAGATGACCTAAGTGTTTAGGGTAACCTTCTTGGCTACCAACTGTACATGAAAATTGAAGCAAGAACCAGCCCAAATATGAAGGACAAATCCAGTAACTTGCTGCAGGCTTCTAACATATTGCTCTCCACAAGGTATGTGGCTGTGATATGTCACATAGCACATGAAAGGTGCAACCTGTGGTTGTGCATATGTTGCAGGATAAGACGGCTACCACAGTACACACATACGTATCGCGCAGGTTGGGTTTGGGAGATTTGTATACTCAAGACCCTAGCCGTTCAAACATGTTGTTCAACCGTTTTAGCATTTTCACATTGACAGATAACCCGAGGCGGAAACCCTATCTACCCCTGAAGCAAGTTGACGGAGGCATGATTGGCCTGAGGCGAGTGTGGCTCGTAGCAATGAGGAGATCTGCTGCCAGGGCCTAGAACTTACCATTGGTTAGCTGGGAATGAAGGAATGGGAAAGAAAAAGCTTCAACTGTAATGGGCTATATAATGGACAACTATCAGGATCCATTCCATATTCCTAGCTAACAAGAGGTAAGAGAACGGCTTATTGTGTGTAGAGCTTGGGGCTTAGTAAATGGAGCTTGGGGCCTGAGGCAGACCATAAAGCCTAAAGGGAACAAGGAAAAGTTTTGCTCGTTCTTCCCAAGCTATCCGAAACCCTAAACCCACCCCATTAGAATAGGACAAGTTTGGAAGCAGTAGGCATAAATAGACGAACCAAAAACAACCATGTCTTTTGCTAGCAGTCCGACAAGGTTGCCATGCTGTGAGGTTCTTGAGTACTGTCCCCTGCATTGTCTCTGCCAGTCTGATGGCCTAAGGGGCATAGCTGATTGGATGTCAGCATTTTGTGCTATGTGGGAATTTCAGAATATGAAGGCTGACTCGCGAAATGCTTCCACGAGCCCGTCGAAATGTGAGGATTCTCGTCGTAGGGATGCCCAGTAATGGGCCCGAAAATGAACACCTCAAAAGAAACCCTTGATGCTGAGACCAGCAAATCTCCGAACATGAACTAAGAAGAGAGAAAGGCACAAAGGCTAAGTCAGAGAAAAAAAGAGGAGAGACGGAAAAACAGAACTCCCAACAGCAGCTGGCCCTGGTTCATGGTGTGAGGCTAGGATGGTTACTGGGGCCAGAAAGGAATCCTGAAGTAAAGACAGGGCTGCGTAAGGTCTGTCGTAATCGCAGCCCCGGACGATTTTCAACACTTGCTAAGAAAGATCATTGACCAGACCCACTTTGAATTCCTACACATTCCTGTATGAGGTAGGATCCTTAATTCAGTCTATGGCTCAGATCCCCGGCGCTCACGCATCTTACTATTTTAGCACGGAAGCCTTCTGAAAACAGAATCCTTACATGCTCCTTCAGATTATAATCACATATCATCTATGCAATCTAAGACATGCTTGTCTTCAATCCCTGGCAAATCCTTGCCCCAAACCCCAACCATTGCTTCTCACGCAAGGGTCCCCCATGTGCCGCCGAAACCACCATAAACCCTCGACCCTGAACCTCATATGATTGAGGGAAATTCTCCTGTTGAATCCCTACAGCAGCTTATGTGCTCCAAAATTTCCTTTGCCCGGTTGCCACATGAGAGGTACTTTTTGTTGATTAAACCTAGTAAGATAATATTCCTTATATAAAATACTATACCCCAAAAGGAGGATGAAATCTTACTCTATATTGGGTACCATAATATCTCCAAATAAAATACTACTCACATGATTCTGGGCGGCCCTGAGCCCACGACAACCAACTCTTCCCAAGGCATGCCTTGCTGTCCACCTGGGGGCTTTGGGTTTAGGGTTGAGGGTTTGGTGCTTAGGGTTGAGAGTCTGCAGTTCAGGGTTAAGGGCAAGTTTCAGGCATGGAGTGTAGGATACAGGATTAAGGGAAGAGGGTTCGATGTTGGGGTTCGGGGAGGGTAAAGGGGTTAAGGATGTAGGGTTTGAAGTTTGAGGCTTGTGCACCTGAAGACCTGAGCCTCCTGAGTTGCCCAACCGTCTCAACCCTGCACCCAAACACTGACATTACGAAACCTACTTCGTGATTCCAGAACTGTATAAGTGTACACTTCACCACATGGCCAGAGCAAGCAGAATTCAAACTCAAAGATGGTCAGCCGGCACCTCCACAGAAGCCTGACACCTCAAATTTCGAACTGTAGCTTTGTCAAATAGAAACTTGGATATTCTTGAGGAAGTGCAAATCATGATGATGTTGAATCTATGTTGGGTTTGGGTAACATGTTATTCAACAGCAACCCAGGGATTTTCTGCTGCTCGCTAACGCCCTTCACTGCTGACTGAAACTTCTGAAGCACGTGGGCTAAGATCAAGGACACATGTTTACATTCACGAGGAATAAAAAGGTCTCCCAGCTTGACACGACCAGCCACACACGACATACACACACACACACAAAAAAAAAAAAAAAGAATTGCAACATGTGTTACAAGGCTCTTCTGCAGCGAAAGAAAGCCAAGCCTCACGCAAACTTCAGGCACATTCAGTGCAACATGCCCTTAATTGGACCCTAAAACGCCGAAAATCGACCAACCCGTAGGTCCTAAAACCCGAAAAGCAAAACCACAAAACCAGTTGGCTGCAAGGACCCGGCCTCTCGACAGCTGATCCTTGGCCATCTCCTGCACCATCACAAAAAGCAGCTCTTTGCAGGCAGCTTGGGATAATAGCTCATAAAGTTCCATGCGTGCGCAAAAACCAACGCAGGCACAGATTGAAAGGGCAAAAACATGCCATCAGTTGGGAGTGCGGTCGGAAAGCGTGGCCAGACCTACCCTGTTTTTTGCCTGCGCCAATTGCGCCAGATGCGCCACCCGCGCCAGCTGCCCCAGCTGCACCTGCACCACCGCGCCACCTGCGCCATTAGCGCACCTGCACCACCCCGCGCCAGCTGCCCCAGCTGCACTTGCACCATCTGCGCCAGTTGCACCAGTGCGCCACCTGGACCCACCTGCACCATGTCGCCAGTTGCGCCACCTGCGCCAGTTGCGCCACCTGCGCCAGTTGCGCCACTTGCGCCATCTGCGCCAGCTGCGCCAGCTGCACCAGTTTTGCGCCAATTGCGCCATCTGCGCAGCCTCCATCATGTGGGTCACTTGAGCACCACCTTTTGTGCCGCTTGCGCCAAAACTTGTAATTCAGCACCACCCTCTCACCGAAGCTGTGATCTTCGGCGTTCGCGCCGCCTGCGCTTTTTGCGGCATGTGCAGGCGGCGGTGCGGGCGGTACGGGCGGTGCGGGCCGTGCAGGCGGTGCAGGCGGGGCGGTGCAGGCGGTGCGGGCGGTGAGGTGCGGGCAGTGCGGGCCGTGCAGGCGCTGCGGATGGTGCGGGCGTTGCGGCGGGCGGCGGGCGGTGCGCACGTGCGGGGGGCGGCATGCGGTGCGGGCGGTGCGGGCGGCGCAGGCGACATTCTGCCCACCGTTTCCGACCGCAATGTCAGTTGGTAAGCCCTATCAGAAGAGCTGCGCTTGGGAATTGAAGACCCGATCAGGCATGAGTAATATGATTGGTCATATGAATAATAAGTCTAGCATAAGTAAATCAAAAATCAGGCTTGTGGCAGCAGCAGTAGCGGTAGCGGTAGCGGTGGCGGCATGAGCAGCAACACTAGCGGTAGCAAGGAGGCATGGGAATTCAATGACGGTCAGAACGGGAGTACTTCCTCAGGCACCACATTCCCAATGGTCATGCCCTCTGGAGATCGCAGGGGCTAACAAAAGCCTGGCTGGTAGGAAACTGAGGGACATGCTGCATCCGTTTCTGAAGCAATAACAAACAGCACTCCCTTGCGACCGGAACCCGATCAAGGGGTCCTCCTATATGGCGCCCATATTCCAACACTTGACCCGAACAGATTCTCATAGAAAACTCTTAACCTGTAACCCCAAACGCGGGACTCTGGCCCTAGACCATATAAGCCCTAAACCCAAGACCCTACCTCCTAGACCCGAAACTAAACACTCCCAAGTGAGATCAGCAAAGGCAACACCTGGACCAACTCGCGCTGATGGTCAGTGAGGCAGCGCAAGACGAGTCCCAGGCTTACCTCAGAAGTGCTGTGGTTTTGAGGTTCGGGGGCGAGGGCCTCGGATTTCGGATTTAGCCCCAATCTTTTTCCCGTCTGCATCTAGGCACAGGGGGCCTTAAGGCGGATTTATGCTTCGGAGCGCTGGGCTTGGGAGCCCAAGAATGTGGAATCAAGCGACCGCTCAAACAAGAAGACAAGCCACATGCCCTCGGGATCTATTGTATCTCCTTCTGAATCCCTCAAGGCATCCCCGCTTTGAGAAAGCTCTGAACATATAGAGGTCCGCGCTTTCTTCAGTATGATTCAGTTGAAAACAGCCGATGTGTAGCCCCCAACCCGAAACTAAGCCTTGATCCAAAATTCTCACCCTGAACTCGTTACTCTAAACCCTTAACTTTCTAAACCCTGAAGCCCCACCCCCAACCCCAAATCCGAAAACCCATACACTAAAAGCATAAAACTCTAACTCGAAATCGTAAAGGCAAAGAGGTTAGCCTTCGCCTGCTTCTTCCTCGCTAGTGGGTGCGCCCACCAGGGCCTGGGCCAACGCCACAAGAATCCAAGAAGATGGTTTCTCAGGTTTGGGATGGCAAGGTTTTTGATGCCTTGTTCTATGGGTATACAGTAGGGGCAAGGTTCGCTTCTGGGCCTGAGATCTCTGGGGCTTTGGGTTGCATGTTTTCGCAGGTTTTAGGGTCACAGGGTTTAGAATCTACAGGGCGCTG